GCTCTATGGCTTGAAAAACGGGATGAGCACTGCCCCCTAGAGTCGGACACGACTGGACTAAAAATATCAAGGGGAACCTTTACCTTTTTAAGCTAGGTGGACAGCTCAGTGACTTGTATCTGGCTGCGGAGACGGAAGATCAGGAATTCAGTTTCTCACTGTCTTCCAGGAAAAGAGACAGCCTGTGTAGCCTTGGGCAACTTACACAGTTCCAGGGTGCCCCAAGAAGAAAAGACTGATAAGCCAATTCTGAGTAATCTATATCTGCAAAACTCTGCAAAGCCTCATGGTAAGTCAGAACTGATGTGATGGCATGTAACTATTGTTGTTACATGTTGGATGGGGGATTTGAGGATTTGTGCTTCTTGGATTAAGCAATATGAGTACCAGGATGAAGAGGGAGGGAGGGAAGGAAGGAAGGGGGGGGCAAGAAGCAGCTCCAGCCACGTTCCTGGAGAATCTCAAGCCTTTCCAAGCCCCCAGAGCCAAAGAAACCCAAGCATCTCTCCGAGCAGGAAACGGCCCCGGCCAGCAGGGCAGAATCCTTCCCAGACACAGCTGGGTGGCGGCGGGAGAGGAGGAGGAGAGGAAAAGAACAGCCAACGGAGAACACAGAGATGATGCACAAGTCATGCTGCCACTGGGAAAACACAAAAGGTGATGGTGGTGGGGAAACCAGCCACACGGACCAGGCTGGAAAAGCTGAAATCCCCGTCACCAAGGTCTTCGGCCAGACCGCCACGGCTCTGACTCAGCTCCCATCTTGCTGTGCATCTGGAGGCGGCTGGCCGGATGGATGCAGGGCAGATCCATGGCTCGCCCTGTGCCCCGGAGCCCATCTGTAAAGTGACTTTCTTCATCTACAACTCCCAGAATTTCCGAGGAGGTGTCACCCTTAAAAGTAACTTTCCCAAACGTTGCTCGGAATACGCCTTTCCCTGTGACTTTGGGAGTCTTTTGGAAAGCAGGACACAAAATAGATGCGAAGGTGGCGATAAGCATAAACTTTGTTATGTTGTCACGTCGCCTCCAACGTACGGCAACCCTACGATCTCCAAAATGTCCAGTCCTCAACTGCCCTGCTCTGCTCTTGCAAACACAAGCCTGTGGCTTCCTTTAGGGAGTGGGTCCACCTCGTATGGGGTCCTCCTCTTTTCCTGCCGCCTTCCACCTTTCCCAGCATTATTGTCTTTCCAGAGACTCCTGCCTTCTCATGAGGTGCCCAATGGAGGACAGCCTCAGTGTCAACATTTTTGCCTCCACAGACAGTTCAAGTTTGATTGGCTCTAGGATCCAGTTTGTTCGACTTTCTGGCCGTCCAGGCGATCTGCAAAATTCTCCTCCTCCAGTATCACATTTCAAACTAATCCACCCCCCCCCCCGTCAGCTTTCTTCAACTGT